GACTGCAGTCATGCTCAGCTCAAATGATACATGATCATACCTGCAGAAGTCTGCTGCTATGCTCAGCTCAACCTGGACCCAACCGCAACAGATTTATTACATGAATTATCTAAGCTTATGTTAAGTCCATGTACATCAGCAGAATTACCACTGCAACTTACGATCATGATCAATGAAAAGGTAGGAATTAAAAACGCTTTACAAAGACAAGTTGACAACTAAATATATCAAATATCAGGGATACTTCTCGACAGATATGTCGCAAATGTATATGATTCTAAGATCTCAAGTCTCGGCTGATGTCTCTGAATGTCTCAGACTGTTCGGAAAGTCAGAAATCATAACAATCAATTAATGTCAATGAACATTTCCATAATGATATTCTACTAGCAGAGTCCATAATGCATGTACGAGACGTTTTATGAGCATCTGTTAATGAATCAGTTTCTCGTGATGATACCAGCTGTTCGCGAGATGGTTTCTATGTTATGATGTTGCTAAACCGAGCAGAAACTCTTACTCTTTTGGATAAAACCAGACAAACAAGGAAGAGTTTACAGCTGGTGCCCAGGGGATGCCCGCTTATTCCCTGCCTAAATGTCTTATCACTAGTCATATACAATCTGTATATAGATGTTGTCTATTGGGAAGGCCAACCATTGACGCATTGTTTTCTTCTTTGACTTCAGATGGCATTTACGTCTACATTTCTCAATTCAATACCTTGAATGTATTTAGGGTTATGGTTAATCTTGAAGACAGGGATTTGGTGGAATATTTGCTGGAAGAATCAATATTCTCCCTGTGTACCGAAAACAAGACGGGATGGTCTACACCAGGCATTGCATCGGGAATTTAGTCTCTATCATAATTGAAAATGTCCTTTACTCTCTCACTCCATCGCTAGATGTTCAGTTCGCATTTGCCTATAAGCATAAACTAGCTCTTGATTCAGAGGTGGTTGATAATGTTCCACTTCCATTCCTTCAAGGAATTTTTGTGTCAATTATGTTTTTCTTTCACTATTTTTATACCTAACGTCGTGCTGCGTAAGAGTCAAGAGGCTTTTCAGTTAAACATCTACAGTAACTCAACCTGTTCATTTCATGACAACACGTGTTCTCTTTGACTGTCAGGAAAACCATTCCTTCAGTCACAAACTATTGAGAAAACCAATACAACGTGGCCCTCCTGATCTTGGTGCCAGTAGACATCTGTACAGTGAGATTGATTAATTTGTGAATAAGTACATGTGTTTAGCTGGTGGCATTAGCTTTACTATCGGACATTTGATCATCTTTGTGTTAATTTGACGGGGTATATTTGTTATCCATAATGGTCTTTGATAATGTTCCAACAACACATTCGTAGGATTAATATAGGATGTCAGCGCCAGGCAATGATCGGTCATTATACGACAGACCCGTGAAGAACCGGGTTAGAATTGGTCTACAGTAACCCATGCTTGTCGTAAGAGGCGCCTAATTGCGTAGATCGATGCTCATGCTGTTGATCACTGGATTCCATTATTAACAGATCGCCGTCATATAGCTGGAATATTGTTGAGTGCGGTGTTAAACAACAAACCAACTAACCAACCTGTATCCTACAGATTCCATCGGGCGTAAATGGTAAAATAGAGGTTAAAAGTACATGAATGGATCAGTGAAAAAAGGATAAGCACCGCCAGCACCCGCCACTCACATAATGTACATAAAATGTGTGTGTTCGTTCCCTAGCACTACACAGCAGCACCGTCGTGCCTTGCGACGGCGGCAACTTATTCAGTCCAGCTTAAATGTCATGTCTGATTTCAAATGTTTTGAGTTGTTTGATTATGAGACTAAGAATACCTCATCTCTGGCTGGAATGAATATTATTCTAATGTCAAAGTAATAAAATACAACATGGCGTGGCATTAAAACTTAATGGATGCAGTTTATCCCCCAAAAAATACTTTTCGTGCACCTGCGTATATTTTAATTACTATTAAATTGTGTTTTTCCTCATAACTGTGTCAGTGCAGATGCATCACAACGAACGTATAACACAGTTATTTCAACATCTGAAAAGCCCGTTCTTACAATCTCAAAAGACTTGTTTAAAACAACATCGAATAAGATATAGTTCTACCTAAGCAGGGACGATAGCAACATCTCCAAATCCTCTGTTTTCAAAGGCACAAACTGTATTGCTTATAGAGATAAAGAAACTGAGAGATAGAATGACAGGAATGGTCCACGTATCAGAAAGACGGTTATATACGTATGGAAAATGTATTCCTGCACCCCAGATTTTTCCAAAGTATCAATATGTTACCATTTACCATTGCAAATGAACGTGTCCAAACCTCGATTTAATTTACAATCTGGTTAACTGATCCTCAAGGATAAATTAAATGGCAAATATCAACGCAAATTGAACGAAAACTGTATTATATGCATAGAAGAAAACATGGCAAACATTAAAATTGTAGTGCTGTTAATTATGGACGTATGACGTTAACAAGTGCGGCCATTTTGGTATACAATCCTTTGAAATCAAGTATCCAGAACAGTTTCAATATCCGGTGTAACCAATGACATCCTTGACCTTCCTCCACATTGACAATGACCACTATTTAGCTAGAATATTGCTGAGTGTGGCGTAAAATTCAACTCACTCACATATTGACAATGAATTGCGTTCCATTCTAATTGAAGGGCTTGTTCCAATGCATCAAGATATTGTTCTGGGAGATCTCTCTGGCGTATACTGTGGCCCATAATGTCCCAAACATGCTCGATGGGATATGGATACTTGGCGGGCGAAGGTAGAGATACTACCTCGTCTTGACGTAAGAAATCACCAACGAACGGCACGTGCACGATGTGGTCCAGCATTGTCGTCAATGAAGACTGGCTTTGTGTTCACAGGACGGTCATCGAAATGTGGTACAACAACCCTGTCTGTGATGTCAGTGATTTACCGTTACCCATTCAAATTTGTCTGCACGTCACAAGGCCAGGTTTACAGTCATGTGAGAGGCGCCCCTACACCAAACAGTATGTGCAGTATATTCCGTTGTGCATCTGTGGCGCCAAACACCAGCTCGGCCATCAGTCATGAACAAAATAAATCGAAATTCCTCCGTCCAATGGACCCTTCTCCATCATACCTTTCCAGTGTCGTCGATCTTGACACCAGGCCAGTTGTGCTGCTTAGTGTTGTGCGGATAACAACCGGCGTCAGATACATTGTCTGGTTCCATACACGACAATATATCAGACAAACCAAGATGTCTGTGGCTTTGGAACATCAGTCTTGTTTTTTTTCGTTTTCTACCTGAACGCTGACGGCCCGCGATAACATTAATTAGCTGATGTTGAACGGTTAGTTGGCTGATAGCCGATGGATGACAACCGACATCTTATGCAAGGGTCCTCAGCATCTCTTGCAAGCAGCTGTCAGCTGAGGAGGCCTATTATATCAACACTGAAATCAATTGATTTTCGATGTTACAAAGCTGTAAGAACAGTTTATTGAAACTAGATATTTGCTTACTGACGGGTACACGTATTGCACGCGATGCTCGCCTTTGATCACAACTCTTGCCTATCTAAAATCAATGTGTGGTACGCATGAAGGGTGATCATAATGATCAAAATCATAATTGTTGCAATACTTTTTTCCATATGTATATCACTATTTACCGAAAGTCGGTCATATAAAACAGTGCAGCAAGGGTGTGAATGACAAAGACACTGTCATTATAATATGAAGATTCCATGTACAGAGAGAGAGAAGAGAGAGAGAGAGAGAGAGAGAGAGAGAGAGAGAGAGAGAGAGTCAAATATATTATTACATAATGGGGACAATTCAAAGAGAAAGGACTCTTAATCAATTATGCATTTGACGGAATGAGTGCCATAGACATAACTACATTAAGGACGCGCCTGACAGAAAGACGGTCATCAATAACGCTACACCAAGATCAAAGGGCTAAAAGAGTCACATCATAGTATACCATTACACACATATAACATGATTCAAGGGTCTACATGGCAGAAAGGCGGTCACATATACCACTACTACAAGGCTGAAATGTTGTCAGTAAGATGAATAAATGTTAACAGATAGACTGAAATATATACCGCTACGTGAACGGCTCATGCCAATGGTGAAAGACTACATCAATCCTGACAGAAAGACGGTCATATATAACATTAGATCAAGGGTGTAAATAATTCTAAATCAAATGGTACGTGGCGGGGTTTTTTTTAAAGAATTACGTGAATGTTGACAGAAAGATGGTCACATTTTATAATCCGTTGATCGTGATCAATACTTGCACTCCAGACATTTTAAAGAATTCTTTATCAATTATCAAGAGTGCGACAATGTATCCTGTTCTCTGTACATAAAATTGGGTATTTTCAGGGATTCTGTTCCACCGTCATGATCACATAATCATGAGTGAGTGAGTTAAATTTAACATCACCTCGGCAATATTTCAGCCATATAGTGACGAGAAAGGCTTTGCATACACAATAAATATAAGTTGTTAAATAATCAGTCATCGAGGGACTGTAAAAAACTAGACTATCACAGATGGTCCACATCAGCATGACCATCTTGACCAGATAACGACAACTTCTTTCTCTAACGACAGCTGCCCACTACCCTTACTGCCACATGCTCACACCTCCTCTCTCTCTCACATACACACACACACTTCTCCACCCTGTTCCGTGGTTGGCGAGGATGTACATAGTGCACTCATAATACTTTGTATCGACCAACAGTGAAAACATTTGTGTCTGGCAACACGGGGCTTACGACATTATTAGATGAACTGAAAGGCCTTCCCACTCAACACTACTCATTAGCAGCATGGACAGCTTTGCATATCCGTAATTTATCCCGGTCTGAGCTATTAGCATTTCACCACTTCCCTTCCCCCACAACCAATCCCTCGTAAATAGTTAAACTTTAATCTCGCTATATATATTGACGTTCTTAATAGCAGTTGTAACACTCGACAGAGGCTTCAATACAACCATCCATTACCATTGTGCAGTGTGAAGGTAGAATCGCCAAGCTTGTAGCAGAGCTTACTATTCTGACTAGACCAATCACAGAGCTCTAAGGGCCCTTGGTATTCAACACCCAGTTGTTCATCTCTCTCGCTGACTGGCTGGAACCATTAGCACCACCACGGCCGGGGCGATCTCAAACAGCGTGGGCCTAATGTCAATTTAATGGACGCTTAGTAATTTTGAGTTGTAAACCTACATTAACGAAAGCCTTTGCTTCAAGGACCAGTATACACAGAGGCTACAGCTGGGAACCGTGCAGATAAATCCACTCCGAAGTCTTCAGGTAAGGTAATTTATACATGATTTATTTTTCGTTCTTTAAAGGCACATATATAATATTATAGATCTAAACCGGATTTGTTTTTGTTTTTCATTCTTATACTTTTCAACCTTATATTGCATTGTAAACTGTTATGGCAAATATTAATAAGAAATTACCATTCTGGCAGGGTCCCTCCATATATGCATGAAAATACAATATATTCATGTTTTACATAATAAAAGGAATGAAAAAAACAACTCTTCAATACTGGAGACACTTTCCCCTTCTGTTTTTATATATAGAATCAGTTTCGACAATTTTTCTGATTTTCGCTGGTGTTCACGTTTTATGTTCATGTTTATTTTCCATTACATTGTTTTCGGTTTTATCCTTATGTTAAAATCTGTTCAAGCAATATCTTTCCCGGTGGCAGCTACGTTTGTGGCGTGACTGGTCTTATAACATGAATCATGTCACTCGGACAGCCTTAACACAAAAAACTACATTTTTTCCTTCTGTCATGAAACCTACGTTCCTTTTTTCTCAAATGTAATCAAAAGGTAATAAAAATGTTTTTCATATTGAATCCCTACTTAGATATTTAAGATTTAACCGGTTTGAAAAGAAAGTTCTTTGAATGCCTGAATCCTTACATTCTGTGTTATGTTTTTCCTCGGAATGTAACGTATGACGAAATGACGTAACGTCATTATTTGTATGTAAAAACTAATGCCCTCGTGAATGTAACATATATCATATTTGTGATTACACTTTCTTAACAAAGTACAGATTCTTGTACTTTTGTTGGGTTGAGTCCAATCAAAAACATTTGACCACTTTCTAAATGGCATTGTGTAATCATAGCAGTCGTGAATGTTACGTTTCCCGCTAGTCCCCTTCACTAACAGCTATGCTCTTCTCGGTTTTACCCAAATGCCAATGACAGTCTTTGGGTTTGATTCCAAGAACAGCAATAAAACTCTTTCAATAATCATGGCGAATATTCATTCTCAAACCTGTTAACGACCCATTTCCCAAATCCATATCCTCACAACCTTTCCAGAACCCTCACCTCTTTCTGACACCAATACTCTCATCCATGTCCTCCACCTTCATACCAGCCACATCTACAAACCTAAACTACACTTTCTGTAACTAAGAGAAACGCATGCGTATTTCTTGTATCGGCTACTTTCTCATTGGCTATGTCACCAACAGAAGAAAACAGAATATCCTAACGCATCTTTGGTTCCCTCAAAATTTAAACACTGGTTTTAATTTGAACCATAAATTCTTTGATATCTCAGGCTTCTTCAAAAACATTAGTTTAAAGTAACATTTATTTAGACCGAGATGGAGACATCCTTCTGTGCTAATTCGTGAGGGATTATTGAGACTGTAAAACAGAGGGAAGTTGAGCTGTTAGCTGGAAACCCATGACAGTTTGCTGACTCAGCTTCAAAAGAAAGATAGAAGTATTTCATTCGTAATTAAAGGCATATTTCACACATAACCTCTTTCAAAAGGGTATTTCTATAACAGGAATAATAGCTAAACTTGATGTTCGATCGATTATAATTTTGTGATGAAGGTATGTAGGTTTGGCTTAATTTGGTTTAGATATGGAAGGACCTATGTGGTAGTGATCATTTTGTAGATGATGTCCATGTCAGTGCATTGTAGATGATGATTTGATAACGTGTTGTTCTGTTGTTCTTTTTTGTTGTGGAGTGATTATGCAGTTGATATTCATGGGAGTATGTGGTAGATGTTGACGTGATTATGATGCTGAAGGTGACGGAATTATGTGGTAGATGGCAAAGTGATTATGTTGGTGCAGGTAATATGATGACGGGATTATGTAGTAGATGTTCATGGGAGTATGTAGTAGAGGGTGAAGTGATTATGTTGGTGAAGGTGACGGGATTATGTAGTTGATGGTCATGGGAGTATGTGGTAGATGGTGAAGTGATTATGTTGGTTAAGGTGACGGGATTATGTAGTTGATGGTCATGGGAGTATGTAGGAGGGTGAATGATTATGTTAGTGAAGAGGGATTATGAAGTGGGATTATGTTGGTGAAGGTGACGGGATTATGTAGTTGATGGTCATGGGAGTATGTGGTAGATGGTGAAGTGATTATGTTGGTGAAGGTGACGGGATTATGTAGTTGATGGTCATGGGAGTATGTAGTAGAGGGTGAAGTGATTATGTTGGTGAAGGTGACGGGATTATGTAGTTGATGGTCATGGGAGTATGTAGTAGAGGGTGAAGGGATTATGTTGGTTAAGGTGACGGGATTATGTAGTTGATGGTCATGGGAGTATGTGGTAGATGGTGAAGTGTTTATGTTGGTGAAGAGTGACGGGATTATGTAGTTGATGGTCATGGGAGTATGTAGTAGAGGGTGAAGTGATTATGTTGGTGAAGATGACGGGATTATGTAGTTGATGGTCATGGGAGTATGTGGTAGATGGTGAAGTGATTATGTTGGTTAAGGTGACGGGATTATGTAGTTGATGGTCATGGGAGTATGTAGTAGAGGGTGAAGTGATTATGTTGGTGAAGGTGACGGGATTATGTAGTTGATGGTCATGGGAGTATGTGGTAGATGGTGAAGTGATTATGTTGGTCAAGCTTTAAGGTGACGTGATGATGGGATTATGTAGTTGATGGTCATGGGAGTATGTGGTAGAGGGTGACATGATGACGGGATGATACGGAAGATGATGATGCCCTTGGTACGTGGTAACATTACGACTTGATGCTATCGCATTACTACTTTGCGTGTTGTTCACGTGCTAACGGGATCATCTGGTAAGTGACAATCGCCGTGATTAGGTGACAGATGGTGACTGTTTAATATAATGACGTGATGGCGGATTTGCGTGCTGCATGTGAAATCACTGCGGCACTATACAGCAGATGATTACTTGATGACGTTATAAAAGGGCAAATAGATGTGTGGTAGATAGTGAGGCGAAAAAGTTGATTATATGATGGATTATAACGTGAAAAAGCGATTATTAGCTCGTTAAAGTGAGTGAGTGAGTTTAGTTTTACGCCGCGCTCAGCAATATTCCAGCTATATGGCGCTGGTCTGTTAATAATCGAGTCTAGACAAGACAATCCAGTGATCAACAGCATGAGCATCGACCTACACAATTGGGATACGATAACATGTGTCAACCAAGTCAGCGAACCTGACCGATCCAGTTAGTCTCCTTTAACGACAACCATGGGTTACTGAAGATCAATTCTAACCCGGATCTTCACGGGTCTGTTCTGATAAAGTGATTGTGTGAGACATGTAAACCCCATAAAATAGGGAATACGGAAACACTAGTTTCATTGAAGACATATGACTTAAAACCAGCAACATGAAAACCGAAACCCATGTGACATGAGGAATAGGGGAAGTAATCCTGTTGCCCTTCACTGCTGTATAAAACAAGGCGGAAAACGATGGTATTTCGTTACGTGTTACAGAACCACGGAAAGATTTCCGCCAAACAATATCAGACGTTGTGAGCAAGAAGAAAATATTAAATTTGGTACAGGTTATCGTCGTGATCAGTTAGAGTTCCGGCTTTACAAAATACAGGGTGGTTAATTTACCATCTAAAAGCTTGTTCTTCTTCCTTTATACCACTGAGATAAGTGATACACGTAGGATGAAAGCACTTCCTACGAGGAAACCGTGTTAACAAACGAATATTTAGCGTCATCTCCTTCTACCTGTCACGTCTCCCAGTGTGTTACGATAGTTTGTCGACACAGGCTTCTTTGCAGAAGGGATCATTATTATCAAATGTGATTATAGATTTTATAATACTGTATATACATGCATTTATGCAATGTCCAGACACTGTTTCGTTTTTTTTAAGTTAAATTAATTCGTAAAATACATTTTATTTTGTTTATTGATTGTTGCCGAGGCTTATTTTCTAAGGGGAAGAAATTACTCATTTTAATTTCTTGGCGGTTCTCGCCTACATAGTTCTTACACTTTGTACTTCTGGGCAGCATGCATGTGTCCAGCGTTAAAGGTTGTGGGGTAGCATTGTGGTTAAAGCGTTCGCTCGTCACGCTGAAGACCCGGGTTCGATTCCCCTACATGGGTACAATGTGAGAAGCCCATTTCTTGTGTCCCCTGCTGTGATATTACTGGAATGTTGCTAAAAGCGGCGTAAAGCCATACTCACTCACTCACTGTTACAGTTTTACCGAAATGACAAGAGATAATTCAATAATGGACACAATCTGTTTAGAATATACATATTTAGCACGGTACACTCTTAGTGTAAACAAACTAAATCCTTAACTACACGGCGTGATCGATGGTTAATAGCAAAGGGAACAGTTTGCAGATAGTCTTGTGAATGTGTCAGTGAGAACTATGACAGGTTCAGGGCAAAATAGAAGATATATTCAACATCAAACGAACAATGTCTAGTTCGATTTCTCACATTTGATGCCGAGTGAAATAATCTGAACTATCTTGAGACATTGCCAGATGACACAACTACGATATCGCTAACTCGAAATAAACTGCTTTATAAATTATATCTTTCTCATATCCTCAAACTACAGAACGTATAGATCTTCGTCACCAAGCTGGTTCATTGGTAAATAATGTACAAGATTTCCAATACTAATGTCCTTAATCTTCAGTCTACAAACACAGTGTGCGAAAAATGTTCTCAGACAACTCCCAACCATCGGGAATTCTTTTGAATGTTGTTCTTTTTTCTTCAAATGGCAGGTTTGCCCTGAGGGACAAGGAAAGACAATTTGGACAAGTTGGTTGTATTCAATCATTCATCATTCAAAACTGGCTTTAACGGGAGATCGCTTATTTGATATCAGGCGATAATCCCAAAGTGATATCGCTGCAATAAATTCCAATGTTTAATTTCCAGACCATTGTGACATAATCGGTTGCCTTGGCGTCGCAATCAAATAGCAACACAAGGTTACTCTGGAACAGCCTCCCTATCACTATAGGAGAAATCAACTGT